GAGAAAGAAGAAAGAAGTTCTCTTCGTCTTGCTCAGACTGATTACTGGAAATGCCAACCTCTAACGGTGCGTCAATCAGCAATTATGCTCCCTATGCAGTTTGTTAATCGACTCAACGAATTGTTCGTAAAAGTACAGGTACGCCACGGTAAATTCGATATTGGAAAGCGTAGGGAAGGTTTATAGGGTACTAGTAGCGTCAATCTCAAGAACAGTGTCCGTAGAGAACAGTACAGGGGTGGTGAGGAAGGTGAGGGCACCCCTCCAGACAGACGATTGGCTCTTCTTGTCACCCGTCACTGTGTGTATCTTGTCGCATTCCTACTATACATGTATGGAGCCGTCACGTCTCCATAGTAAAAAAAATTCGAAAGTACGGTATTGTCAGTGGTCTACCTCTCGGCAGGTCCCATGAACGCCAGCAACTTACATGACTGCTTCTATGCATAAATCTTCTCAAAGGATAAACGTGTTACTCCGTCAATTGATTTGGGAACATTTGCCAATGAGCTATCAATCAGTACTAACGATAAGAGCTGAAGGTGTTCAGAATTGAACATCCTGCATGAGAGAAGGTTGATGATTCTCATGTGAATTACTAGTAAAGTTGGTAGATGATAAATACTGTAGATGGCGGCATCTGTCAGAAAAGTCGATCAAACACGCCCGGTGACCGCGACTGACGCGAGATCACGGTGGGTGGTCCTATTTTGACCACCTACCATGCAGTTGGCAAGAATGACGCGGAGGTAACGTATATAAGGCCCGGTGAAACACAAGTAATCGGTTCTTTCTACTTCGGATTCGACTCTCGTCGTCGTCACGCCACCACCGCCGTTCCATCGTCGCCATTTCCACCATCACTCACCCAGCTCCACCACTTCGCCTCCCAGTTATTCTATCTATTCTCATCGTATTCTAATTCGTTATTTGCAGTTCCTACTTCTATAAAGTTGTTTAAGTTAAAGAGTTCTTCTGTGACCACTCTGAGTAAAACAGGGTTCACACCGCGCACAATTTTGACTCATCACTTCGAGTGTTTAACACATTGGCGACAATGTGACGCGTACGCGCGTCAGATTTTCGCAAGGTGGGACTAAGTTTCCCCCTCCTTGCTTGGTGTTCTTTGTAATTCAAAGTTTCCATCTACACGATAGAGCTCATGATCCAAAGGTACTGAGAACTCGTGGCGCGTCATCGTTCTCCCTTCGTTCCTTTATATTCACAATGCAGCTACCTACCAGGGTGAAAATCGTGTCGAGGACGTGGTCACATCAGTACGACCCCCCCCTCAGATCGGGTCTTGATACGACCCCTCTAACTTTGATTTGATGTGAATAAGCGAGTTCCATCAATGTACAGCAAAGCATTCAGTTGCAGCGCGGTTTATCCGTGGGTCAGATTTGCCGA